GAGGGGTCGTGCTACCCAAACTGAGTGGCTGTTAGTGGGGAGAAAGTGACACTGTCTGAAGAACCGTTTTTCGCTCTCGGCCCCTCCCCAGTGGGCCTGTCTTTCCCCGGACGACGCAAGATGCCTCCTCCTGGGGCCTGAGGTGAAGGTCGTGCCCGGGGACGCTGAGCCTGGCTTGTTTACTTAGGGCTTCTCCAAGGTGCCGGGTGGACCTGGAGCTGGGAGATGCAGCCGTGACCGACTTACCTAGCTCCAGGCCCCGCAGGGCATAGCATCCCTAGAAGCCACTTGCTGGAGGAACCCAGGGCGCTATGTCTCAGAGGCTAGGGTGCAGGTGCAAGGGCCCAGGCACATCCAACACCGCCCTTAAAAAGCCCCTGGGAGAAGAGGGCAAGGTGGAGCGGCTTGCAGAGGTCTCAATACATGGACTGATCCCTCAGCTACCACGGAGCCCTAGGGAAGAGTTCAACTAGGCCTTGGGTCAGGAGGACAGGAAATTTCCAGAGTAGGTGAGATGTTCATCTTGAACTGGTTCATCCCTGAGGTCAGAAAACTTTTCCTGCCTTGTGCTCTGTACCTATACCTGTGCTGGACCTGGGGTCACAGAGATAAATTAGTCTCCCTTCAGGGGTGGGGAAGAGGAGGCCAGCAAATCTATAACCACTGTACCAAGAGACTAGGGCAGTGCCAGGAACTCAGAGAAGGTTCATAATCCCCCTGGCTGCAGGGCCTCCAAGGGCTAAGTAGGAATTGGAAAGATGAGCAAAAGATAAGGAAGATGGTTCCAGGCAGAGAACATTGCCAAAAACTTAAAGACCAGAAAGTACCTGCAGTGAGCAGAAGCCAAAGGTAAGCCTGGATGAATGGAAAGAGTGCTGCAGGCCACTGTAAGATATCTGGACTTTATCCTGAGGGCAGTAGGGAGCCATGGAAGGGTTTAGAGCAGGAGACTTCCATGTTCAGGATTTTGGATAAATCATTGGATTGGATTGGGGGGAGGGTGAAGTTAGAGGCAGGAGAAAATAACTCTGATCAAGGAGCAGGAGCAAATGGCATTGGGGGATAGAACATCCACACAATAAGCTGTCCTGCCTTCAAAGGATTTCCAACCTTGAGGGCCTGAGTGTGGAACTCAAAGCGCAAATACCACACTAACTGCAGCCTTCTGCCCCAGGCAGATGGCTGGCCATCCAATTAGTACCACATGTAACATGACCCTGGTATATAGTAAAAGGCCCCAGGAGCCTGGCCAGCTCACCTCCCCCTCCTCATAAAACTTAACACAATTTCAGGATGTGTCCCCCTGCCCCCACAAACAAACATACTTCCCGGGTTATCATCTGGATCAAGAAAATGGACCTTTATCTAGCCCCTCTGCCCTCCAAGCATGACTTTACCTGAACCAGGGGCTCAGCCAGCCAGCGAGGCCAGGGAGAAGGCAAGAGGGAGACCCTAGTCCCACCACTAGGAAGGGACCATAGAAGCTGTAGATAGGTTGAAAAAGTCCTCCAGTCATCAAATGCTCAGTGATGCCTCTGTGTTCTCAGCCACTGTGCACCTGGAGAACACTTACAAGAGGCCATACCTTGGGGAAGGTTTCTGGTCTGGAGGAAACTGAGAACCCTAATCTGGAGTGATGAGGGCTGGGGCAGGGGCAGGCACCAACTGCAGGAAGGGTGTCACCACCTTTGTAAAAGAGGCAGCAATGGCTGGAGCTCTGCAGGCTGTGATGAAGGCCTGTCGCCCACACGCACGGCAAAACCCAAACTTGCTCCACTGCTTTTCCTCAGCTAGGGCCAGGACCTCCCCCACGAGCTCTTCCTCAGGCTAGCTCCAAAGCTCTCTTAGATGGTAGGAGGCCATCTGACCTGCCTCCAGCCTTCTGAGAGCCCTGTGAAACCAAGCAGCCCAGGGGATCAGTGCAGTAGATAGAACCCCAGACTGGACCAGGCTGGTGGACAAGGACTGTGTGAGTCCCTGTACACTCCCTCTCCCTCCTGTGTGAATGCCAGCCAGGCCTGAGATTTAGGGAAAGCCATCTCTTTCATCAGTTGCCACAGGCCTGGCCCTGAGCCCCTATTGTTGAAGGCTCTCTGGTGGCCTCTGAGCCATAGGATGGTACAGCTTAACCCAGTCCAACCCTCCTTGTTCCACATTAGGGGATACAGGAGCCTTGGAGTAAAGTCAGAGTTTAGAAAAGTTCTTCATCTCCATGCCACACACTGTCCCCCCAACAACTCTTATTTGATTCTTCTGTGCCTGTTCCCCACCCCCATGCCAAGGCTGGCCATAGGGGACACAAGGACTGCCCTTCAGCAGCTCCCAGTCTGAGCAGAGGTGATAAGACCAGCCAACTACAATCAAAGAAAGTTGCTGAAGTCAGCACAGGGTGCTGAGAAGACAGGGTCAGCACTTTGTCCTCAAATGCTAGGCTGAAGAGTTTGGACTTGATCCAGAAGGCAGTGGAGAGCCATGGAAGAGAGCTGAGCAGGAGTGACACCTGGAAGGAATTAAATGAACAGGACTGCAGGGGTGAGAGATTCCCCTTTCATCTTTGCACAAAGTGCAGTCTTCCTGCTGTGGCCTTCGGAAGACCTGCGACCCTCTCCAGCCTTACTCATCCCTCCCTCTTGTGCTCCTATCAAAAGCATTTGTCCCCTTGGGGCCGGCCCGGTGGCGTAGTGGTTAAGGGCGTGCGCCCCGCTACAGCGGCCCGGGGTTCGGATCCTGGCCGCGCACCAACGCACCGCTTGTCAAGCCATGCTGTGGCGGTCTCCCATATAAAGTGAAGGAAGATGGGCACAGATGTTAGCCCAGGGCCAGTCTTCCTCAGCAAAAAGAGAAGGATTGGCAGATGTTAGCTCAGGGCTGATCTTCCTCACAAAAAAAAAAAAACCTTTGTCCCCAAAGTGTGACGAGCTAAGAGGAAGTCCTCAATCAAAGTGACTGGAATGGATGGATAAGTGTTGTGGCCCCTAGCCTAAGTGGCCGTAGTTTAAGGTGGGCATGGTGAGAACAGCAGGTAGAGCTTTCAGACCTGAGCCCTCCCAGTCAGTCCCAGGTCTTAGGCAGGCAGGTCCCTCTGAGACCAGGGCAGGCATCACTGAGGTGGGCTAAAGTGAGACCGTTTGAGAGCCAACATATTCAACCAGGACCTTTGCCAGACATCCCCAGTCATGGAACACACACTAGCCCCTCTCCACCTATTCCTCTGTGAATGACCCTCCCCCCAGTGCTTTTCCTGGGCCCTCTAAGTCCCCACACTCCAGCCTCTATCTTAGCAGCTGACCTCTACTTTCCTTCCCTATAGTCCAGAAATGAACCTGACTCTGCCAGAGAGGTGACTTCCCCAGGGAAACCACACTGGTGGGACAAGAGGCCTAAGGACAGAGCCCAACCCCACCAGAGAAGTGGATCTTAAGATTTGGTATCTGGCCCACACAGGGTCCTCCCACAAGCTCTGACTGGCTCAGAATGCCTGGGGGTCCACTGGGGCCTCTCTGCCCTGTTCCAGGAAGGGTATGAGGAAAGGCAAAGGGAGCATTTTGACTGAGACAGTTTTTTGTAAAAAAAAAAAAAAAAAAATCAGAAATAAATTGTGCCTAAAGCTTGTTGGCTGGGACTGAACCAAGCCTCAGTCTCTCTCCTGAGTGGGGCCCCTTCTCTGGGAGCACTGGTCTGGGAAGTTAGTTACAGCAGCCTCAGCATGGGGTGACCCCATTAGCCACACAGTACCCTATCACAGGGCTAGCCTATTTATTCTCCATCCAGCTTCAAGCAGGCAGAGAACAGCTGATCCCACTCTCAGAAGAAGGTCCTTGGGCCCAGAGAAGACTAGAAGTGACTTGCTCAAGGTCAGAGAGCCATGGGCTCTGGGAGGCCACTGGTAGTGCCGTATCCTTATCTGCATACAGAAGAGCAAGTGTGGGGGCCGGCCACGTGGTGTAGGGGTTAAGTGCATGTGCTCTGCTGCTGGCAGCCCGGGTTCAGATCCCGGGCATGCACTGACACACCACTTGTCAAGCCATGCTGTAGTGGCATCCCACGTAAAGTGGAGGAAGATGGGCATGGATGTTAGCTCAGGGCCAGTCTTCCTCAGCAAAAAAGAGGAGGATTGGCATGGATGTTAGCTCAGGGCTGATCTTCCTCACAAAAAAAAAAAAAAAAGAAGAGCAAGTGTGGGTGTGGGGAGGGGCTGCTCTGGGACTAAGACAGGCCTCACCTGCCCAACCCTCGACTTAGGCTGGCAGGGCCAGGGCTGCTGGCTGGCCCAGGGGCCTGACCCTGGGAAGATGGGAGGAACATGGCCTTGGCCCAGAGGGGAATTCTCCCTCCTCACAGAGCTTGGAAAAGGGGGGAGAAGCAGCGTGTTTACAGCCGAGGAAGCACAGGCGGCGCTGGGCAGAGACCTTTGGTCAAAAGGCTCCTCCCACTAAGTGGGGGAGGCCCCCATGAGATGTGGGAGATGTGGTAGCCGTTTGTTTGCTTCTCACTGCCAGGAGGAAATTAAAGAGAATCTGCCACTTCCTTCCGGCTCAAAAGGGATGGAGGGGGCGGAGGACAGAGGGCGGGGGCAGTGGCGTGGGCAGGCAATCGCAAGTTCCCCAAATTGCTGTCATCAGCAGTCTCCAATGTCCTCTGCCCAGAGCAGGCACATCATAGATCTGAGTTCCAGCCAAGTGGGGGTCAGACCCAGCACCCCCTATTCACCTGAGCTGGTCCCTTACTGGGACACCAGATACCCTAATCATTTTCCCAGATTCCATATCACTTCTCATCAGGAAAGCCAAATGAGGCCAGTGCCTCAGGTTTACCTGAGTTGGCAGAATGGGCTTCTTGGGCCTTCCTGGCTGAGCCCAAGTCCAGTGAGCATTAAAGGTGATACCTTGTCCCCCACTTCCACCCAGATCCATAACAATGGGTAGGAGATATGCTTTAGGAAGCTCCAGCTCTACACAGAGGGTGGGAGTAGAATAATTATGTCAGGACATCAGTCCATGTGTGAAGATGCCCAAGGCTGAAGCAGCCAGCCATGGGTAAGAGTGGAGGGTGTCTTTATTGCACTGCACCAATGTCAGGTTAGGGAGGTACCAGCTGAAAAGCTCCTGTTTTCAAAGAACATACTGAGGTCGCTGGGAACTTGACTTTGCTACTGAGACACCAAGGAAGATGGGCACTCTGGGCATCCCTCGGCCCAGGCTCCAGGCTGATAGCCCAAGGCCAAGACCTCTTAACTATTGCCAGGCAGGGGCAGCAAATTGTCCAAGGGCATCTGGTTCATGCTCTGTACCCACAGCCATCTTAGGGCCAGGCCCATGAAGGAGGTGACCAGGGTAGGGACAGTGATCACAGGCCTTCCAGGGGGTTCTCTTGACCACTTCCCAAGGCTACAAAGGGCTTCTTGCATAGCTCCCCAGGCATTGCTGGCTCCTGAACACTGGGGGCCCCAGGGTCTTGGTCAGGGGCCTCCCGCTTGCGCTTGTTCAACGAGGGGCTCTCCTCACCCAGTCGACCCTCAGGAAGGCCCTGGCTCCGCAGACAGACGATGGCCGCAGCCTGCTCCGCCAGTTTCTTGGACTTGTCCCTGGGCAGATGAGGCATGAGGCAATAAGGCAGATAGGCAGGCAGACTAGTTGCAGGACTAGAGGCTGGGAGGCCTGACTCTACACATCCTTGGCAGAGATTCTGACAAAACTGAGGAAGGGGTCATTGCCCAGGGATGCCACTACCCAGGTACACCATCCTTCCAACCTCCCAAGCCAATGCTAGGATCAAACCCCACCCACACCCCAAGCCTCACGCCAACTGATGAGGAAACTCACCACAAAGTGGACTGGTACTTTTGCTCAGCAACAGTGACAACAGAACAGAAAAGGCGATCCAGGGGGCGTTGAACCTGGTGCAGAGAGAGCAAAGGAAACAGGGATGGCTGCACAAGGGCAAGAGGAATGAGGCCCACCTGCCGGGGTCACGTTGAAGGCAGACAAAAGGAAGTACTTCCCACCTAAGTCAAATGAAGGCTACTTGTATCACATGCTCCTCCCCAGGAGAGTGCCTGGTGCATCTTCCAGGAAAGAAAGGCAGATACACAGACAATGACATCCCAGTGTGTCAGGAGTTCTGTCATGGACATAAGCAAAAGGCCGTCAGAGCCCTTAGCTGCGCATGACCATGGAGCCTCCTCCTACTGACATCTGGATGGGCCAGGTCTCCTAAAATGAGGAGTCCACCAGATGGCAAAGGGATAAGAGGGAACAAGGACTGGGGCAAAGAAGGTACACCTGGCAGAGTGACCAGGTGATATGGCTGGACAGAGAGCTGAGTGGATGAGACCTGAAGCACAAAGGCATGTGGGGGGTCTCGTGCTCTGTGCTGAGGTACTAGGGCTTGATCCCAAAGGCACTGAGGAGCTAATGAGGACTTGAGTGAGGGAGGTAGAGGTCAGATTCATTTTGGAAATGTCACTCTGGTGGAGAGGGACACAAGGCCCAGAAGCTACAAGCTTGGAGGTCAGAAGGCCAGTCCAGAAGAGACAGAGCAACCTAAACAAAGCATAGCCATGGGGACCAAAGGAGTTAAAGCAAGACTGTCTCAAAATTCCACCAAGAGGCCCCATGTCCTAGGGCCCAATTCTGTGCTCCATTGGCTGAGGCCTGGTCCAAAAACATGTTGTCTAACTTTTAGGTTTGAACATCCTTCCTAAGCCAATTGGCCCTTTCCAGAGAAGTCTCCCCTGCCTAAGCAATGCCACTGGCAGGGACTGGCCCAAGCAGCCCCTTACTTAGGTCTCTAACTGAAACTTAGGTTCAGTTTTATGCAAGTGGCCAGATTTAGACAACAGGCCCATTGTCAAAGGGAAGGGGCTATCAGCAACTGGCCCGGCCACTAGCAACCACTGCCTGCCCACAGAGGGCAAAAGCCAGGCTCCAGCCAAGCAGTCTGGAGTTCAGGGTACAAGCTGTGGGTGTCCTGGGGGTGATGGCACCAGCCATGGCAGTGCCTTAGGGCTGGATGCAGGGCAGACCACAGCCAGGAACTCACCGTTTCATACACGGGCTGTGCCAACTTCTCCCTCCGGCACCACTCCAGCAGGCACATCTTGGGAGTGATCTGGGGTGAGTATGCTCTCCTGGGGAAAGAAGGAGAGGGAGTCAGGGCCCACCCACCATCATAGGTAGGAGCTGCAGGAACTCAGACATCAGGCTGCTGCCTTAAGACTCCTGTATCTATTCCCCTGAGCTCCCATTTCTGTCCTACCAGTGGCTTGGGGCCTGAGTTCTACCTAAAGGGAACATGGGCTTCAGCAAGTTTGGTGAATTGGGGTAGGATGTGAACTCCAGCACTCTGAGCTCCAGCCTGGGCCTGGAAAACAGCCTTCAACAGCCAAGAAGGAAAGTCCAGTTTGCCTCTCAAGACAAGATCAGGAGGGAGCGAGTGGCCACACAGGTGGCCAAACAGTGGTCTCAGGGATCTAGCTCAGTGCCCACTCTGATAATGTCTGCTGAGTGTCAGGATGATCCATTGCTGCCTTGGACACAGTGGACTCTGGTTTCAGAGTCAGTCTGTGACAGGGTTACAACTTGTAAGGCCATGGTCCAACTTCCCACCAGGAGCTCTCAACAGCTGTGCCCACACTCCTCCTTCTAAGCTCTTGCCAGACAAGACTGGCTCCTGGTCTGGGCCTGGGGACCTGATAGCAGAGGACAAGGATGAGGGCCCCATTCAAAGCTGAGTCACAGTCTGAGGCAATAATAGGCCTGAGGCTACTTCTGCCTAGAGAGGGCACCAAAGGGCTGGTAAGGGGCAGTGGATGTGAGCACGGGTTGCATAGCCAGATAAGAGCTAGGGTTCCGCTGCTATTGGGGAGCTCCTTGTAGGCAGCTAGTTCCTCAAGGCCAGGGAAAAAGCAGAGACTTTCAGGAACAGAAGAAGACAAGTCTCCCCACCCCAAGTGGTGGGAAGGGGTGGGTCCAGGAAAAGGTGGAGTTTAGTCACCCTTGGGACAACATGCTCACCCCTAACAGTGGTACCTGGGCTTTCAGGGACTGTCTTCTCCAAAGTGCCTTCTTTGGGTTGCTGAAAATCGAGAACAAATGTACAAACCAAGGAGACTTGTGGTCCCTAAGCTTGGCAATAACCATGTACAGCAGCCAGCTTGCTGGCCCAGTCAGGCCCAAGGGCACTGGCCTTGGCCCAAGCTGAGGACAAGCTGGAGACCTACCGGTCAAACTTGACAGCCATTTTAATGACACCAGAGGTGTCTTCAGCTGGCTCCTCCACCTCCCCTGGGGTCTTGGCCAAGAGCTCGGCCCGCCGGGCATCCAGCTCTCGTGTGGTCTCCTCGTAGAAGGCACCAAGGCCAAAGGCCTCACTATGGAGGGACAAGCAGAACAGAGCAAGCCCCTTAGTGGAGCGAGCATCCAGGGAACTACTGGAGGAGCCCAGGGTCGCCCACTGAGAACTGCCCCCCAACATACAGCAAAACACCACCAGGACCCAGCCATCAGAAGGTAGCCTACCTACCCCTGGATCAGCCTGGACTGGCAGATGGAGAGTGAATGTAAGCCCCTGAGGGTGGACACTGGAGGGCAGGCTGGGCTGGGTGGAAAAGGTTCTAAAGGTCACCTCCACCTCCTGAGCCCAGCCCTTCTTCTGAGGAAGAGCACACAGGCAGGCATCCCCAGCTAGCAGCGAGTAAGTTGACCTACACTAACCAAGCACCGGAGGTATGCATAGCCTCATCCTCATGTGGGCTCATAGGAGGAAGAAACGGAGGCCCCATGACTGAGTGGTTCCCCACTTCCCACCCTCAGCACAAGCAGTTAGGCCTAGCCTAAATTGAGGTACCACCAAGAACTAGAGTTATATTCTTGTGAGCTCACAAGACACCTGGGTCAAGCTGGTTAAGCTATGTGGGGTATGGACAGAACCAACACCACAAGCCCACGGTGGGGAGGAAGGTTCTGGCAAGGCTTTTCCCTTCTAGGAAGCATCTTGAGAGCTGGAGGACATTCAGCAAGATGGATGCCTAGGGGTGAGAGTGGTTCTGAAAGGCTTCTTTGGAGGAGGGAGCCAACATGAGAGGGAGAGAGCATTCAGGCAGAAGACCCAGTATCAGCACAGGTGTGGAGGTGGGGGAAAGGATGGGTAAATAAGGAGCTGTGGGAGCAGGCACTAGGCCAGGTTGTAAGGGGCTCCAAATGTCAACTGCCTGAGTTGGAGCTATACCAGATCTAGAGGACCAAGGAGTGGCCTCTCAACTGCAGAGTAATGGGGTGTGGGCACAGGCTCAGGTCAGGAGCTCCATTCTACAACCCCAACTCTTCTGACCATTGGATCTCGGTGGCCTGGCATGTGACAGATCTGTTACTGGGAAAGCCCCTTCCTCCCTAGGAATTCCCAAGCCCAGCCCTCAAATTCCTCTACCCTACTAGTGCCCCAGTTCCCAAAACTTTGCTGCTGAGAGTAGTCCAGGGATGGAAAGTTCCAAAGCTTTGAAAGTACCCCCTTCTGTGAAGCGAAGCTGTACCATTACCCCACTCCTGCACATCCACCTCCAGAAGCTGTGTCCCTGGTACCCTGGTAGAGTCAGCTTAGGGCCCGGGGTCAAGCCTGGGCAATATCTGCAAGGACAGAGGGACAGCCCATTGCCCCTCTCACCAAATTTCCCGGGAAGACTGGGCGGCATGCAGCAATTTTCCCTGGGGCGACTCCAGCTGTTCTCGTAGCATCTGGCACAAGCAGTACTTGGTGTTGGTGTAGTGGTTGTCATACTGCACAGCCTGAGAGAAGAACCAGCATGAGCCCACTTGCTGCCCAGGCAGGCTCTGAGGCCTGAGCTATGTTCTAATGGCAGGGAGCGGGGCTCCAAGGGGGCACCAGAGGTCTGCTTGCAGCCGAGGCAGTGTGGCCCCATAAGAAGAGCCACCTCCATGCTGGCCACCTACTCCTCCACTTAGTGGTACAAAGTTCGAGGGTCATAGCTGAGGCCCTCAGTCAGGAGCACACACTACTGGACAACCTGACCGAGGTCCAGATGTGCAGGGAGCCCCTCCTGCTTCAGCCACCACAGGTTACCACAGAGGACCTGCTGCCAAGCATCTTCCAGGGCAGGGAGGGGGAACAAGCCAAATTCTGATGTGGCAGGACGAGCCAGGACAGGGGTGAGATTCTTCTATTGTTTATAACCTCGATGGGTACCTTCCCTGCCCACATCTTAAACAGCCTGTCTCTAATACCCGCCACGTCAGGAAAGCACAGTACCATCTACCAAGCATCTACTAAGCACATGTCGCTTCATTGAGCTATACAAGTGTGAGGTGCAGCAGTCACCACCACTCCACAGACTGGGAAATGCAGGCTTAGGGAGGCAAGATGACAGCCCAGGGATACCCAGTAGAAGCCCACCTTGCTGGGGCAGGCAGGAGAGTAGTGGGTAAAATGTGCCCCAGCCCTCCAGAAGCCCCTCCCACCCCTCGCCCCCTACACTCTTCTACTATCTCTACCTAGGCCTCTGTCTTCAGTGCCTGGGAAGGTGCCATGGCACGCTTAGGACAAAGCAGGGAGACATGGGTAACCCCGGCAAGCGGCAAGACCTTGATTCAGCTTTTTGGGACAGAAGGCACCTGGCTGGACCAGAAACAGTCCTGCCTATGCTTGAAAGCTGCTCCCTTTCTCTGGGACAACACACCCTCCTGAGGAGCTGCCAAGAGACAGGCTGAGCAGGAATGATAACATCACCTTTCACCCAGTGAGCAAGTCAGCACTACTGAACGTGTCTTCTCTGCCACAGACTTGCCAGCTGGCCAGAAGAGCTAGACAGCTGACCTGAACTGAGGCAAGCCCCCTTGCCTCTGGCCGAACCAGGCCACTGGAGAGCCTGGTGGTCACCAACCTGCCCAACGGGACACCTGGAACCAAGGGAAGGAGGGCTGCAGCACTGAGCAAGGGAGGTTCTAGGACAGAGACTGCCCAGCTCTGGACATAGGCCTCAGGACCTCCTACCATCCCTAGCTTGCACAGCCCTGGGGACACCCACATGCCATGGCAGCCACAACTGCCCAGGCACAGCCATGGCTTGAAGAGGGCATAGGCAGTCTGAGGATCTGAGAAACTCCTGACCATCTCAGGAGGGCGTGACCCTCAGGATTGAAGAGGAGGGAGGGAGTCTGCTCTGGGTGAGGGCTGTACCCTCTGCTAAGGCCCAACTCACTGAAGAATTTGAGGACCACTCACTGTCTCTGCCTGTAGACACATATGGCTGATCACAGAGTCTCACAGAGTTCCAGGGTTATGCCAAAGGGACAGGGCAGGTGAACTTGCCAAAAAATTCCTTTTTGGGGAAATGCCCCTGGCACTACCATCAAGCTCCCAGTGAGGAGAAAAAGCTAGTCCCTAAGGAGAGGGTTAAAGTTAGGCTATGACCTAAGTCAGAGGTTAAAGCACTCTGGGAATTAGCAAGAGAAGAGTTTTAGAAGTGATTTTTTTTTTTTTTTTTTGGTGAGGAAGGTTAGCCCTGAGCTAACATCTGTTGCCAATCCTCCTCTTTTTGCTGAGGAAGATTGGCCCTGGGCTAACATCCGTGCCCATCTTCCTCTATTTATTAATTTTTTTTTAAAGATTTTATTTATTTATTTTATTTCCCCCCAAAGCCCCAGTAGATAGTTGTATGTCATAGCTGCACATCCTTCTAGTTGCTGTATGTGGGACGCGGCCTCAGCATAGCCAGAGAAGCGGTGTGTCAGTGCGCGCCCGGGATCCGAACCCGGGCCGCCAGCAGCAGAGCACGCGCACTTAACTGCTAAGCCACGGGGCCGGCCCCTTCCTCTACTTTATATGTGGGACGCCTGCCACAGCACGGCTTGATAAGTGGTGCGTAGGTCCACGCCTGGGATCCGAACCTGCAAACCCCAGGCCGCCGAAGCAGAGTGCGTGAACTTAACCACTACACCACCAGGCTGGCCCCTAGAAATGATTTCGATGATGACCAGTGAGAAGTCTCTATGGAGAGAATCTGTCCTCAACAAAAATAGCGACGATGGCTGCTCCTGGCTGTGGCTGTTCCAGTGCCAACACATTGGGAATGGATGTCTTCAGTGACACAGACCCCATTGTCATCGTGCATGTGTGTGTATGTATGTGTGTGGGGGGGTGGGGTATGAGAGAGTAAGAGAATGATATCGTGTCTGGGGCCCTAAAAGCATCCTGAATCCAGGGGTCCTGACTATGCCCCCTACACCTCGGAAGCTTTAGAAGGAAGTGATGGTAGGGGCATATCTCCTGAGCACCCTCTCTTCACATTGCAGCTGGGGAGACCCAGTGCTGCATTACAAGAACTAAGAAGAAAAGGAGAGGAACAACAAGAGCTGCTGGGGATGGGGGCTCTCCCAAAGCACTTTCTGCAGGAATGTGGCAGACAGTGAGAAATGACTGTTTTGAAAACCCGGCAGACATACGTATCGGATGTACTTCTGCATGACCTCCTGCAGGGGCCGCAGACCCTCCTTGAGGAAGATAGACGGGTTCCACATGGCTGCTCGGGCCACCATCACTGAAGACGCTGCCGTGGCTTGTCGAAAGTCCTGTATGTCCAAGTACTCTTGGATGTGGTCGTGAGATCCTCCACTGAATGGCAACAGGGGGGTGAGGGGTGTCCCCATCCTCATACCAGCATTTTCGGAAAAAGGCAACCCCCAGATCTGCCCCTCATTAACTGTGTGGCCTTGGCCAAGTCCTTCAACTGTGAGTGCTTTGAGAGACAGGAGATTATAATACACACCCCACTATGGGATCAGGAGCACCAAGTGAGATAATACAGTAAACTGTGCCTGGCACTTAACAGGTGTCCCAGAGATTTTACCTTCCTTCCCCCTGATCCTAAACAGTGGCTAAAGCCAGCCCACATCTGAAGACATGGGTCTGCAAGTAGATACTGGGATCACAGGAAAACCTCCAGGCTAGGACACCTATATGCCCACTAACCTGGGCAAGACCAGCTGGGTCAAAACCCTGGAGAGGGAACAGATGCAGTGGCAATCATGAGAGGAAGGAAGGAGGCCCAGTTTGGTTGCAATTTTCCTTCCTGCCACCCTGTGGCCCCAAGGGCCCCCTTGAAAACTGCTCTGTTTTCATCTGTTCCATTAGGAGCCAGGCAGCAGCCTCAGTCCAGAGACAGCATTTTGTGTTGGGGTTGTGGGGAGACCCTCAAGTGGCAGCAGCAGCAATAGGGTCCAGGGTCTTGAGTAGCCCTACACTCTCCAAGCCACCCCTAAAATCTTTGGCCTGGGGAAGGCTGGGCCTGGCTACCACCCCCACCCTTAACTCCCTCCCTCCCTCCCACCAGCCAGGAGTGCCTTTTGTCAGGGTTTCAGGGCTTTGGAACTTCTCTGACCCCCTCCTGCCCTCAGGCTCTGTGCCATCCTAAGGTGCAAGGCTGAACTGGACTCTCGACTAGCCCACACAGTCCAGCTCCCCAGTGGCAACTGTATAATGTCTTACTACTAAGCCTTTGGGCTGGTTATGGGTACCTCACACCTGCCAGTCTTGGTTCCTGATCCCGTAGCTGCCCAGAATGCTTGTCTGGGCTTTGGACTGTGACCTGCCTTATGCCCCCTGAGCCATAGCTCTACATGTTCTGGCTTGGGACTCCTCACCCTACACCCTGCACACCTAACTCTGGGTGTGACATCACCTTCCCCTGGGTCTGCTTCAGGGGCCACCTTCTTGCTCTCCCTGTCCCCTGAACACTCCTACCCTCAACCTGTCCATCAGAATGCCCTGGGCCCCTGCCTACTGCACACCTACATCAGCCACTCACCAGAGGCCGGGGGACATAATAGGTACTTTTCAGCCTCACTCCCAACATAATTTTTCATCCCGCCCTTTTTCCCTTTTCCCTTAAGGTCATTCTTTAGTGATATCCTGTTCCATTTTCTGTATGCCAGCTCAAATCCCTTCTGAGTGAGGTGGGCATAAAAAGGTAAATGATGAGAAGGGGGGCTTACTTGGCTATCACAGGAACAGAGAGGATTTCGGCAATGGCTTTGATGGCTTCACAGCTGACAGGGTGCTGAGGTCGCTCCTCCCGCGTCCTTGGAGATAAAGACAAAAGATGAGGCTGAGGGCTGGGTGCCAAAGGCTACATGACAGTTGACACAGGGTTACCTTAGCCAAACCCTACTGTCCTCCCTACTGAACCTCAGGAAGGTCATGTGACCATCAAAGACAGGGGTCTGGGCTACAGGGGATGGCTCTCCATGACTTCTGGGGCGAGGGGCAGGAGCAGCACAGGTCCATGCTGAGAAGGCAAGTCCAGCTCTTGGAGGCCTGCAGGTGAGGCATGCCTGCAGGTGAGGCATGGCTGCAGGGGGCCAATGCAGGTGGACTGGCTCCCAAGGTCATACTGCCTTTCCCTGGCTTCCCCTCGCCTCTGCCAGAGATGAGGGACAGTGCCATAAAAATGCTGTCCCTACTGTCCCAGTCCTGCCCTCCCCAAGGGACTGGGAACAGCTGCCACAGCTCAGACTGGCCACTCCCACACAGCTGCCTATGCTGAGGACAAGTTGGACAGCTGATCCTGGGGAGACGCACCTGGCGCACGGTAGACTCAGCAGCCAGGGCGGGCCAGAGACCATGGCTGTCAAGACAAGACACAGGGGAGGCAAAACCACAACCTGTGGCCCCTCCTTCCAAGGTCAATTGCAGGAAGTTTCTGCGTATGAGTGAGTGAGTCTTAGGAATGCTGAGTTAAGCCCTGACCTAAGCTGTGCTCAGGAACAAGCAAGAAAGATGGTTGACCAGACAGCCTTTGCCCAGGTCTGTCAGGGTGTGTCCCCTCTGCTACACTCAACAAAAGGGTCAGAGGCCACAGGGCCTCAGAAGGCCCTGTCAACTCAGCCTCACCTCCACCTCCTCATACCCCCAGCACCCAGTTCTAGCCCTTCCTCAACAGCTTTCATGGCCAGAAAGTCCCTCCTTAAACTCACCCAAATCTGTCTTCCTAGTGTTTCCAACTACTGGTAAAAAGGAATAGCTGTATTTACTCAGAGCATAATATATGCCAGGCACCGTGCCAAGGCTGCATATTCACAATCTCATAAAAGCCTCACGACAACCCTATAAAGCAGAAATTATCTTAATTTCCAAATGAGGAATGTGGTGCTCAGAGAAGTTAAGTGATTTCTCCAAGGATGCACAGCCAACAAGCAGCAGAGCTGGGATTTGAAACCAGGAAGTCTGAGCCCAGAGCCTGCTGTCTCAGGGAGGAGCATGTGTGTATATGTGTGTGGCCTTTCACCTCTCCCTACTGGCTTCAACTTGCACAGCTCTGCTTTTCTCTCTTTTATATGTTGCAGTTCCCCTCTCTGAAATTGCTGAAATAGAAACAATCAGCAAAAAATGGGCTGTTCCTACAAGACCCCTGAACCCACAAGGGACATTACTCCGAGAAGAGAGGTCACTCTGACCAAAGTCTGCTGACCTGCGATTCTATACAAAAGCACAACCTGAGACAGGGAGCAAGTTCGACTAGGAAACCAAGGGTAGCCTTCAGCAACACCTCAGCTCTCAGCAGAGAGCACATTAGCCACAGATACAAGGATTGTTTAAAGTAGTCACTGTGACAGCTGGCAGTCCAACAAGGGCAGACAAAAGAGGCACTGCCTTTAAAAGAACAGCAATCTGCCTGGGGTCATTCAAGGGAGAAGCTATTGCTCAACCTAGTGGAAAGAAAACGTGATTCAGAGTTCTAATTCCACCACTTCCTGGCTGCATGGTACAATTTTCAGCAAATCACTCAACCTCTACCATTTACACATCCTGAGGGGAGGGGTGTTTCTCCTTCCTCTTGGTCTCTCTGTGTCTGTAAAGCTCAGTGCAGTGTCTACCACCAGTAGGTGCTCAATGAATGAAACAAAGAAAACTCAAGCCCATAAAGGGTTCGACTGCCCTCGGGACTTATAGGAGGTCAGAGCTGGGCACAGGTAGGCTGCAGATGTAGAAGAGAAGTTTGTTGTCACCTGGAGTCTGGTGAAGAATCATAAGATGGCCGAGGACTCTCCTGCAAATCAGTCACTAGAAAGGTGACCACTCACCTCCCATGGACTGCGATGGCGGCAATGCCAGTCCTCTCTATCCGCTTCACGAGGCTCAAGGTATCTTCTAGCTGAGGAGGAGGACCACACACGGTGGGTACTGAAGCCGCTGAGGGAGCAGCTGCCAGCTCCTAGAGTGGGCTCAGCTCCACCCCCTCCTCCAAACCTAATTCAGCTCCTCAGGAATCATTCACACCCCCAACTCAACATCCCCAGAGAAAATGGACCTTAAAAGGGAACACACTATCCTTACCGATGGTAGGATGCGAATCTTGCAGGTCACAGGTCTGCGTGTCCCTTTAACAAGAGTGCTGAGGATCTGCAGAGAGGAGAACACAAGAGCACCTGCCTCTTCTGGAACAAATAGCCACAACTGCTCATACTAATTAACTCTGCTACAGACTTGTGCATCACAATGGCCTGTGTCCACATACATGTCCATGAGGCAAGGAATCCACCTTTTTTCTATGCTAGAGCCCCATCACCAGCAGGCCCTTGCCTGGCACATAGTGGTGTACACGTAGTTGGTAAGGGAATGAATGAGTGGATCTGCATGCATGCCTGTGTAGAAAACAGTGATCCTTTGCCAGGGCAGACATCAGAATCACCTGGGTAAGAAAATACAGAATCTTAGATTCTACCTCATATTTCCTGAATGAATCTCTAGGGTCAGGGCATAGGAATATGTGTTTTCAAAAGTCTCCGTATTATTCAGCCATTAAAAAGGAGGAAATCCTACCATTTGCAAAAACGTAGATGGACTCTGAAGGCATCATGCTAAGTGAAATAAGTTAGACAGAGAAAGACAAACACTGTATGATCTGATCTCACTTACATGTGGAATCTAAAAAAAAAAAAAAAAACCACCAAACTCAGAGAAAAAGAGACCAGATTTGTGGTTATCAGACCAGATTTGTGGTTATCAGAGGCAGGGGGTGGGGGAAGGCCAAACTGGAAGAAAGTGGTCAAAAGATACAAACTGCCAGTTACAAGATAAATAAGTACTAGGGATGTAATGTACAGCATGATGACTACAGTTAACACTGCTGTATGGTATATTTGAAAGTTGTTACGAGAGTAGATCCTAAGAGTTCTCACCACAAGGAGAAAAAATTCTTTTTCTTTTCTTTTTATTGTATCTATATGAGGTGATGGATGTTAACTAAATCTATTGTGGTAATCATTTCACAATATATTTAAATCAAACCATTATGCTGTATACCTTAAACTTATACAGTGATGTCAATTATTTCTTAATAAAACTGGAAAAAAAATTTTTTTAAAGGCTCTGCCCAACACACCCCCTCCTCAATATGATTCTGAGGCCTAGTCCTGGTTGAGAACACAGCTGACAGCTTCTTTCCTGCTTGAAGGCAATGTTCCCTGAGTACTGCTCCAGGATCTGCCAAGTGAGGGAGCAGAAAGGCTTCACAGGTTCTGGGCCTTGTCCTCATGTAGCCCTCTCTTTAGGGGAGTCAGATATACAGGAGTGAAACTTGTAAAGGAAAAGACAACATAGTGGACATACGAAAAAGTGTTTATTTGCATGGTAATTGCAAAGGACTTCAAACAGAGATCAAGAAGTCATGCGGGAAAGTGTCAAGGAGGTAATAAGACCAGACTACACAGGAATCAGAGATCAAGAGAGGTGCAGATGACACTGAATGTCTGTGGCATTGCCATCTTCTTCCCCCATCAAAAATTTCAGGTCAGGCAAGCTGGAGGGAACGTGATCCCAAGAGCCTTCCTTGAAGAACTGGATCGCTGTGCAGCACAATGAAGGGGACACCCAGGCACCTGTTGCCAGTCTTGGTTCTAGGCAGGTGGGGGCAGCAGAGAACTAGGTTGCAAGAAGCAGTGGAGGAGGCCTTTCTCTCAGACACCGGCTGAGGCAGGCCCTTCCAGAAGACATCAGAAGCTAGGCTGACAGGCAGGTAGACAGATCATGGGCAAGACAGGACCTGCTGGCCCAGGCACAAATGCCAGGGACTGGCAGGAAGGAACAATCCCCAGGTGCTGCCCCAGGAGGCAGAATGCGTCTCAGGTCCTAGGGTCACTCTGGCAGGCCTTAAAGGGGCACCTACCCTTTAAGGGGGAGATAGCCAGATCCATGGAGATGCACAATTAAAATTCTCACTCTAGTCCTATCCCTCAGGCTGACAGTACCGTCTCTGGAAGGTTCCTTTGCAAGTGCTGACAGAATCCTCTGATGTTTGGTGATTTAAGCAATGTCAGCTGGTTTGATCCAATTCTCTGTTTAGCAGAACTTCCTTTTGGTGTATTTTATCCAAGTAGCTCTAAGCACTTTCTTCAGTATTTCTGTTCATTTCATGTGTGTGTTCCGGACCAGGAAGGAAATTGGTAGTCAAAAGCACCAGCCCCTTGCAAGAGTCACACTGAGGGGAAAAGGTAGTTAGAGTCTGTCCTCTGGCCAGGATCTAGCATGAAACTCCTCTGGACCCAACTCTCGTAGATCCTAGTCACACCATATGTCTCTGTGGTGTGAAAGTCTGTAGGGGAAAAGGATCTGAGACTGGCCCATATCTGAGCAGATAACAGCACATCACCCACAGGCAGGTTCTCTCACCAGATCCACTGGCTGACTCAGGAAAAGTAGACCCTTAGCTGCCCTGGTTGTTGGGGAGGGGGTAGGGAAGAGGATGGGAGAGCATAGGTTTGCGAACCAGTGAGAACTGAGTTCAAGTCCCGGCCCTGCCAATTGTTAGCAATGGCCCAAGTGCAGTGTGCACAGGCGGATGCCCTGGGCAGCTTGGGGGACCTAGGGAATCTTGGGCAGGGGTGAGAGACAGGATAGTACTGAGTTAGAGTCTAAAACTGAAGTTTTCAATCCAGGCAGGGTATACCAGAGTTACCTAGGAAGCTTTTTCAAGACTGATAACCTTTTTTTCTTATTGTGGTAAAATATAAATAACATAAAATTTTCCATTTTAACCATTTTAAGTTTATAATTCAGTGGCATTAATTACATTCACAATGTTGTACAACCATTACCACTATCTACTCGCAAAATTTTTCACCCCCCAAACAAGCATCTGTATTTTGAAAAAATTCTGCAGGTGGTCCTGAGATGCTCCCAGAGATAGAACTATGGGCCTAAAACACCAAGCTGGAAGAAACCACAAAGCTCTCAACCAGGTCACCCAGTTTGCCAGCACAGTTTGAACCTGAATCTAATCCAGCCCACTATTCCTGAATCCCCTCTGTTTTGTTGCGGAAGCCGCAATCTCCCCTCTGTAAGGCAAACCACATGTACTAGTCCGACCTGGCCCATCTGACCGCCCCATCAAACACAAAAGGAGCAGAATGAACTGAGCTTCTGAGGTGAGGTGTACCTCTGCTGCCTCACATGTGAAATGTGAAATGTGCCCCATCTGGGCAGTGGAGAGGACAGAGCCAACAGCAGGAGCGGGGGAAGCCAGGAGGCTGGAGGATAACAAAAATGCCTGTGTGCATATGTTTTGAAGCAGAACATCCCCTATCGGGGCCCCCTCCCTCCCCTAAGTGTGGTGATGAATTTGAAATCCACAGTTGTGGGGCTGGCCCGGTGGTGTAGCGGTTAAGTGCGCGTGCTCCACTTCCACAGTCCGGGGTTCACGGGTTTGGACCCCGGGTGCACACCAACGCACTGCTTGTCAAGCCATGCTATGGTGGCGTCCCATTTAAAGTAGAGAAAGATGGGCACAGATGTTAGCCCAGGGCCAATCTTCCTCAGCAAAAAGAGGAGGATTGGCGTCGGATGTTAGCTCAGGGCTAATCTACCTCACAAAAAATAAATAAATAAATAAATAATGAAATCCACAGTTGTCCACATCCACTCCATCCTGCACAGAAGTGTCTGACTAGAGGTTCCTAAGTTCACGTGTCTACTGACCTGTGGCCAGACACTTATAAACTATACCCAGGCACCTTTAACCTGAGACGCAATCGAGAGGGGACCCTGACACTGGGGTAGGGGTCACAAGACCACGGCTCTAGACTCAGCTCTGCCTGCTACCTATTTGCTACATGATCTTGAGCAAATTATTTTTATCTCTCTGTGCTTTAGTTTTATTATTCTTGATCAAATGGAGATAACAAATGCCTGCCCTGTCTACCTCAAGGGGTTTGGGGAACAAATGGAACAAATGCTGGAATATACTTTGTAAAGGAAATTACCCTACAAATGGTAAGGATATATTATAAGCACACTATAGATACATTATCTGTACCTATCCGCATATGGGAAAAATCAGAAGGCGGGGTAGCCTGGTGGCGTAGTGGTTAAGTTTGCGTGCTCTGCTTCAGTGGCCCAGGGTTCGCAGGTTCGGATCCTGGGCAGGTTCGGATCCTGGGCAGGGAACTATGTACTGCTTATCAAGCCATGCTGTGGCAGGGGTCCCACAGATAAAGTAGAGGAAGATGGGCATGGATGTTAGCTGAGGGCCTATCTTCCTCAACAAACAAAGGAGGATTGGCAACTGATGTTAGCTCAGGGCTAATCTTCCTCACCGAAAAAAAAAAAAAGATGGGCCGGCTCCGTGGCTTAGCGGTTAAGTGCGCGCGCTCCGATGCTGGTGGCCCGGGTTCGGATCCCGGGAGCGCCCGGAGGCACCACTTCTCCGTCCAAC